CAGTATGTAGGTGTTATTGATTTATGTTTATATCAAAGATTGGTTTATTTTAGATATTATGGATGTATAAAAAACACAGTGAAAGATAATAACATAACTTTGAGTAGCAGTTTACAGTCCAATATTGACTCCAACCAACCCAGCTCTTAGATGTGTAGATTCAAAGAAGAAAAACCCAACAATTAAGAAGTTAGATGCACAGTTTAAAACTACGGTGATGATGTAATAACAAAACCATACATGTCTATCTTTAATCCAGTTTCATAAGTTGTAATTTACCTGAAGAACCATGTGGTTAGGAAAGGTGTGTTTGATACACTGAACAACGTATTCCGTTTCTGATTCTGTCAGTTCCACTGGTTGTGATGATTTAAAGAGAGGACCAAGGTTCATAGAAGCCAGCTCTGCCACTGATCCAAGTTGCTCTACAATATAGAAACCAACCTTATTTTCCCCAGTAATAAACTGAGATTTGGAAACTACTGAACAAGAACAACGACTAAAGAATTTACCAATTATATACATATATGTTTTTATCTTCATCCACTCTTTAAAGAGAGAATTTAAAGAACAATACAATACTGTAATGAAAACAAAAGAATAAACAGTAAGTGGAGCTAATCTGCACTAAATCAAACAAGTTATCAACTTATCTTTGTTTGACAATGTAAACCTACCCCTACTATTTCAATTTCCAGAGACCATAGAGGCACACTTTGAGAGGTTTTTAACACTAAATTGAATGACAGATATAAATTGTAGGGCCTTTCTTTAATAAAATAAATCAAATACAAATTTCTTTTTATTTTCTCATATTTTACAATTTTTCATAGTGTCTGGTAACACAAAATGCATGGTTCCAAAAGGGGTTAACGTGAAGATAAAACAATCTATAAACAAACTCACAAAATACAGTAATAATGACTACTAACATTTCTAGATAACAATCATAATGAGAACACTCAATATTATGATGAGAGCTATCTGCATCTTCACAACAAAATATCTAAAAATCCTGGAACATTAGTTTTTTCAAGTATACAACACACGGGCTGTCCTTGTCTGACCCGGATATTATAACATTTTATGTTACAGCTAATTTTATTATCCTAATACAAAAAATGTTTAAATTACTTTCATACCTGCAAAAATGTCTTGTCTCGAAGCAGCAACTTTTTCTTTTGGCTTACCAACAGGCATTATATCTAAAATAAAACAATCTTTGATATAAACATAAATCAATAACACCTACATACTGTTACCAACAGGCATTCTCAGCAGTGTTTCTCAGCCTGTGTAAAACCTGAGGCTGAGAAACACTGCTGAGTACGGATTGTTGTAACATATTGGTGTGTAAGACCTGAGGCTGAGAAACACTGCTGGGTATGGATTGTTGTAACATATTGGTGCGTAAGACCTGACCAATATGTTACAACAATCCATACTGGCTGAGAAACACTGCTTCAGGTCTTACACACCAATATGTTACAACAATCCATACTCAGCAGTGTTTCTCAGCCTCAGGTCTTACACACCAATATGTTACAACAATCCATACTCAGCAGTGTTTCTCAGCCTCAGGTCTTACACACCAATATGTTACAACAATCCATACTCAGCAGTGTTTCTC